GTAAAGTGGTATTTGTTACTTATTCAAGCCAGGTAGATCAGTAGGGCTAATCTATTAGATGTCTTTTTGTTTGTTTTTTCCTCATGCCTTGTAGGGAAAATTGAATGTAAAAATAAATTTTTATTAGTTCCTCAAAGACTACCTCACATTTTTCCATTTTCCTGATAAAATTACTTCGGAGCCATGAGAGTCTGTTGCGGCCAAAAGGGTTATGTTGTTTATTTCATAGGCAGCTAATCTTTGATGGCTTAGAATAGTTTCTCTGAAACTTTGAGTTATAAGAATTTCCTTGGTAGAGAGATATAGGTCATCAGTTTACTCAGGCAGAATTTATTCTTTTAAGCTGTGGCCTGTGTTATCAACGCTTAATTAAGAAAGGGGGGAAAAAGTTGGTTAATTTTGTGATTCCTTCAGTTCGCATGTAGAGAGAACAAAATCTAAGTTTTCTATAATTCTAACTTATGTATTCTGGTGTGTATGTATTTTTCTGATGATTTTGAGAATTCCAGTGCTTTTCAGAAGTCCTGTTGTGTTAACTTCTTCAATAGCCAGACAAAATTAAATCTTTGTATTCTTACTTCTTCTCAGTATATTCTTGCTTCTTTTTAGGCTCCCCACAGTCATAAACTCAGATTCATAGTTTTATTTATGTTTGTCGTGTATAATTACATGCTAAGCACACATCATTTTCATATAATTTAGTCATAAGCATTTAACTCTTGTATCCTGTGTGTATTTTGACAACACTGCTGTTGTTTCTGCCTTTGTTTCTGTTTTTGCATTTAATGAGCAGGTGGTGTAGAGACTGTTACTAGATTATCTGTGGAGAGACAAATGCCATATAAGGGATGGAAAAGTTCAGAATGGGCAGGTTGATTCTTGTTCCCAGGGAAAAAGGAATGGAGATCCCATTGTACAAATTAGCTACTGCCGCTGTCTAAGGGGAGTTCTGCTCCCTTGTTCCGGCACCTGGAGCTCTCTTCAGAATTCCCTTTCTGGTGCCAACAGCCTGTTTTGCTGTGACTTTTTTTTTTTTTAATGGTAACTTCAGTCATTTGAAAATTGGCAATGGAGGCAAAGAAGGAGAGAAAAATAACTCAGTAGCCAGATACCACAAAGCCCAGTTTTTAATGCTCAGGAGCCTTGATAGACACTCTCAGGTTCTCACCTCAGCATCAGAAGCTTCGGGAACACAGTCATCAGTAAGTGACAGCCAGCAGGGGTGAGGAAACAGGAGATCCAAGCCCCGCAGTACCGTTGTGCAGTACTGTTCATGTGCATACTGTGACTGAATTTTAGACAAAGGCCTATGAAATGGTTAAAATTGTAAATTTTGTTGCATAATGGGATATATTATAAATTATTTAGAAGATTCAATTATGTGGAACACCTTACAGACGAATGTTAGTAAAGCTGAAATGCAAACCAGAGAGTAAGTAACTTGATGGGAGTTACCCAAGAAGTTCAGGTACCCCAGGAAACAGAAATGCTGGTAGGCTCAGTAAAGGTTGCATTTCTTATAAATGAACTAATATTGTCTATTTTTAATATGCAGATTTTCAAAATTGATTTATTGTTATCTCTAACTTCTATTTTTGCTCACAGTTGGTTAATAAAAACAGAACATAATTCTTGTAAATGCATTGTCATTTTATTTAATGGCTTGACCATTTAGGAAAATTCATTGACGCTTACTTAGTATTAAAGTAACTGTTGAGTAGACCAAAATATAAAGCAGCATTGAATTTTCTCTTTGCTCTTTCAGGATAAAATAAATCTTAGTATTATGCCCTATTAATAGTATGTGATATTGGCAAGTTATTTAAATTATCTTTTCAGTTTTTTCAGCTTCTGAAATACTCAATATTGAGAAATAGTAACTATGAATTAGGTAAATTGAAATTGGCATTTCTTTGTCTAGTACTGGTATTATTTATCTTGTTGATAGGAAATTCATTATGAAACTGGCTGTGCTGAAGATGAGTATCAGACTGTACACTAACTTCTGCCTTCACTGAGAAAACATTTAAATGTAAATATAATCCAGTTGATTGATACTGTAGTAAAATAGCATTAGGATTAGTGTTGTAAATCATTTTTAGCAAAAGGGTAGAAGAATGGTTTATATAATTCTAAATTGGTCATTTGTGCTCCAGTTAAAAAAAATGCAACTACTGTTTGTCAAAGATATTTATTTTTCAGTTTACGTGCTTTACAGTTTCCTTTTTTGCCTTTTTTTAAATTGGGGGATAACTGCTTTACAGTGTTGTGTTGGTGTCTGCCATATAACAGCATGAATCAGGCATAAGTATACATATATCCCCTCTCTCTTGAACCTCCCACCCCCGCCCCGCACCCGCCCCAGGTTGTCACAGAGCACCAGGTTGAGCTCCGTATGTCACGTGGCAACTTCCCACTAGCGCTCTGTTTTGCATATGGTAATGTGTGCAGTTTAGTGCTACCCTCTCTAATCATCCCATCCTCACCTTTTCCTTCTGTGTTCACCAGTCTGTTCTCTGTCTGCCTGTCAAAGTTATTTAATAGCTTGAAAATATTTTTAAAAATGTAAAACAAATCTTTGCTAATATTAATGAACTCTCATATATTTATCTATAAATAAATAAATTTAAGACATTCAGTAATATTAAAGCAATTTAATTGTTGCTTTAAAGTTTACAACGAGTATGTGTAATTTTGCAAATTATAGACGTTTGTAGTCATTAATTTTAAAATGAAATATGCAAACAGAAAAAAAATCTACCCAAATTAGTGTGATTTAATATCAAATGGTTTAACGTGGGATTTAGAAGACATTCTTTTTGGTCTCAACTGTCATACTAACTAGCTTTGTGACCTGGGGCATCACTTTTGGGATCTTAGATTTCTCATCTGTAAAATGAGGATATTGAACTCAATGATCTTTATATCATTTCTAGCATAAAAATATTCTGTGTTTCTGAGTGGGAATTAGTTGCAGTGCATTTTCCTTGTCTCAGAATCATATTAGTAAAGCAACTGAAGGGGGAAAAAATGGACAAGGGAACAAAACCACTTGCCACACTTCTATGCCATTGCATAATCTCATTAAATTCCTATAACCAACCTGGGTTTCAGGTGTTATTAGCCCAGTTTCACTGAAGGAAAAGACTCAGAAGTAAAGCAGTTTACCCAAGTTCACTAGCAAGATACAACACTGAGGGAGTGTTTGAAAGGGTTCAGTTCAGTTCAGTCACTCAGTCGTGTCCGACTCTTTGCGACCCCATGAACAGGCACACCAGGCCTCCCTGTCCATCACCAACTCCCGAAGTTTACTCAAACTGATGTCCATCGAGTCGGTGATGCCATCCAGCCATCTCATCCTTTGTCATCCCCTTCTCCTCCTGCCCTCAATCTTTCCCAACATCAGGGTCTTTTAAGTGAGACAGCTCTTTGCATCAGGTGGCCAAAGTATTGGAGTTTCAGCTTCAACATCAGTCCTTCCAGTGACCACCCAGGACTGATTTCCTTTAGGATGGACTGGTTGGATCTCCTTGCAGTCCAAGGGATTCTCAAGAGTCTTCTCCAACACTACAGTTCAAAAGCATCAATTCTTTGGCACTCTGCTTTCTTTATAGTCCAACTCTCACATCCATACATGACTACTGGAAAAACCATAGCCTTGACTAGACGGACCTTTGTTGACAAAGTAATGTCTCTGCTTTTCAATATGCTGCCTAAGTTGGTCATAACTTTCCTTCCAAGGAGTAAGCATCTTTTAATTTCATGACTGCAATCACCATCTGAGTGATTTTGGAGCCCCTAAAAATAAAGTCAGCCACTGTTTCCACTGTTTCCCCATCTATTTGCCATGAAGTGATGGGACCAGATGCCATGATCTTAGTTTTCTGAATGTTGAGCTATAAGCCAACTTTTTCACTCTCCTCTTTCACTTTCATCAAGAGGCTCTTTAGTTCTTCTTCACTTTTTGCCATAAGGGTGGTGTCATCTGCGTATCTGAGGTTTATTGATATTTCTACTGGCAGTTTTGATTCCAGCTTGTGCTTCCTCCAGCCCAGCGTTTCTCATGATGTACCCTGCATATAAGTTAAATAAGCAGGGTGACAGTATACAGCCTTGACGTACTCCTTTTCCTGTTTGGAACCAGTCTGTTGTTCCATGTCCAATTCTGACTGTTGCTTCCTGACCTGCATACAGGTTTCTCAAGAGGCAGGTCAGGTGGTCTGGTATTCCCATCTCTTTCAGGATTTTCCACAGTTCATTGTGATCCACACAGTCAAAGACTTTGGCATAGTCAATAAAGCAGAAATAGATGGTTTTTTTTTTTGAACTCTCTTGCTGTTTTGATGATCCAGTGAATGTTGGCAGTTTGATCTCTGGTTCTTCTGCCTTTTCTAAAACCATTTAAAACTTTTCTAAACTTTGAAAAGTTTAGCTGGAGGGAAAAAAAAAGCCCTGCTACCATTCTGTGAAACAGAGTGCTTTGAAAGTCTTATTTACTTGGAGTAGACTCATGTGATCATATAAAGTTAGATAAATATGGGTTCTAGTACACAAGGCACCTCTTTACTTTCCATATGAGTAGAGCATGTTTATGCAATGAAGGAAAGAAAATTTGATCCTACCTGTTTCCAAATGTTTATGAATGCCTAAATCTTAGTTCTTAATGTGGTGAACCAAATTTATTACTTTGAATGTTTCTTCAAAATATGTACCTTAATTAGCTCTTTACCTTTGCAAAAAAGAAAAAAAAATGTAGTATGGAGGAGAGGAACTATTGTATAGTACAGTTTTAAGCATCTATTCTTGTTAAGATCAGTACAGAAAAGTAGGAGGAAAATAAAGCCCAGTGGAGGTTAGAGAGGTAGGGAGAGAGGCTGGGGCAGCCCTCACAGGGCCTATTGGCTAACCTGAGGATTTTAATCTTTTCCTTAAGGAAAGGAAGACATTTTTTAAGGATTACATGATCCAAATTGAAATCCAAAAAGATAATTTGAGCTGCACTAAGAATAATGGTGTTGGAGAAGACTCTTGAGAGTCCCTTGGACTGCAAGGAGATCCAACCTGTCCATCCTAAAGGAAATCAGTCCTGAATAATTATTGGAAGGACTGATGCTGAAGCTGAAACTCCAGTGCTTTGACCACCTGATGTGAAGAAGTGACTCACTGGAAAAGACCCTGATGCTGCAAAAGATTGAAGGCAGGAGGATAAGAGTATGACAGAGGGTGAGATGGATGGATGGCATCACTAACACAATGGACATGAGTTTGAGTAAACTCTGGGAGTTGGTGATAGACAGGGAGGCCTGGCATGCTGCAGTCCACGGGGTCACAAAGAGTGGGACATGACTGAGCAACTGAACTGAACTGAAGAATAATGGTGAGTTTAAGTGAAAGTTGGTCAGTTGTGTCCAACTCTTTGCAATCCCATGGACTGTGTCCATGAAATTCTCCAGGCCAGAATACTGGAGTGGATAGCCTTTCCCTTCTCCAGAAGATCTTCCCAACCCAGGCATCAGACCCAGGTCTTGTTTCAGAGTCTCTAGAGAGGGTCAGATGAACTAGTTACGATGGGATTGCTATAAACCAGGTAAGAGAAAAGATGACATGCATTCAGACAGGTATGTCATATAGATAGAGTGAGGTGGATTGACTTGATTGAGAAATATATAGGAAATGAGGCTGACAGGACTTGAATACAGTTGTTGAAGCAGAATAATTCCTACATTTCTTTCTCATGCAACTGTATGACAGTTCTGGAAAGGCACCAGGTTGAAAGGTTTATCATAGTGGGAAATGGATATTCCAATAAAGACATTACAGAGTGTGGTGCTCTGCAGCTGAAATTTCTTCTAAAGAATGCTTTCTGATATAGCCTCTTGTTAATGCCACTATCCTCCTTAGAAGACAAAATTCTCAAGAGAGTGAGTATAATAAACATAATGATGTATATTTGAGAGAAAAAAGTCTTGATAACTTATTATTCTCTATTTCCGTCTAGCATTTGTACTTTCCCCTTAATAGGCTTGTCACAAAATGTGAAATCCCATTTATTGTGGATAACTAACAGCTGGCATTTCTGAAGAATGAGAGAAATACAGGTGCCTTTGGTTTGATGAGAAGCATTAAAAATACATGATTATCAACTTTTTTTTTATCATCGAAGTAGTTAGGTATTCAGGGGCTTAAATGTATTCAGGGTTATTGACTCTGTAGTTTCTCAGTGGCCAAGAAGGTGTATCCTCTTCACTTGTCTATATTGCTTGACTCTTGATGTCTTTTGGATGGAATGCTCATCTAACATTTTTGTAGTGGGCTTTAGAAGGTATTTATTTAATTCTGGCTTGGTCCTGGCATTTTCTGTCAGCAATTTCCTTTTGAAATTGGGACTTCTGGAAATTAGCCTAAACTTGTAGAAGCTGTTATTGGAAACACTTCAAAACTCATTCTATACGCTCTAGGTGCATGGTTAGTACAATGACTATTTTCTAAGCTCTCCTGCATTTTAGATCTTATGCTATTGTAACTGGGAAGGGTTAATTTTGAATTTATACTGGATCTGATTATGTGACTTTAACCCTTATTTTGCTGCTTTTGTTATTATAAGCATACACAATGGCCTGCCTCAGGGGAGATAACCTGAGCCACCCACCTGTGTAGGACTGACTGTAAGGAAGTAAAACTAACACATTCCCCTGACTGAAGCTTGCCATTCTAGGGGACATTTGCAAGGATTGAATGAATAGTCTTTTTTCTTTGTTTCCTTACCTGCCTCCTCCCCCCCCCCCACCATCGCTGATCTAGAAGAGAACCTGGCAACCAGGCACCCGCAAGATGGTTATTTTGAGTCACTAGCCTGCCATCTTCTTGGTTAGCTGGCTCTTGAATAAAGTCCCTTTCTGATCCTAACACCTTGTCTCGGATTCACTGACTTACCTTGGTTGCATTGAGTAGAGCGAGCTTGGACTTGGTAACACTGTGTACTTTCAAATGATAATCCTTTTTATTTCCTAATGAAATGCTCTGAGACAGGTACCATTTTTTCTAGCCATTTGACACAAAAGTGACAACTCTGGATTTCTATTTTTTGCACCTTGTTACCGCCAAAGCATTTGTGTAAGAGAGGAAAGTAAAAGAGGTAGAGGAAAGAGAAGAAGCAAAAGGAAGGGGATAACCTCAGTTATTTCAGAATAAGGAAGTGCTTTCTCTTAGAAATACCTGCCAAGAATCATGGCTCTTTGTCTATTTGGTCATATTGATTCTCCTCAATGACAGCTGTTTGAAATGTTCATTCTGATCTTCTGTTGCTGTCAGAAGAGTGTACTCCACAAGTGACCAGAGAGAGCCAGAGAACATAGAACCCAGGAGTCTGCCAAAAGTGACTCACTCAAGTCAGTCTACAGAGGAACCTGCTTAACTAAGAAAACCTACCCCATAGAGTCATAGAAATAAATCATTCTTCTGGGGACACAAAAATGTGGTTGAGATATCACCTAAATACAAGACTTCTTCCTAGAGTTCTCCCCAAAGTAATGAGAACTTTTAATAGTCTCCTTTCACAGTGCCCCTCCTCTGGCCTCTTAGTCTTCAGATACTAGTTAACACTGGTGGACTGCCCACTTCATTCTCAATACTGTGCTGCATTTGAGGGATCCCAGATGAAAAGCATTTTCAAGCAAAAATTAAATGTAGACCTTGAATAAGTAGGCGAGACAAAACAAAGAGTAGGTAGAAAGGAGAAAAGATAGGGTACAGAGGGTGTGGGGAAGACTTTATCCAAGCTTAGATTTGTCTAACTTTGCCAGTCTGTGATGTTTAATATCAGCAAACCAAAATATTTTGTATTTCTTGTTCAAGCCCCGTTGTATTCTAGAGATTAGATTTCATGTATTCTTTGAAATACCACCAACATTCTGATTTGGGGAATATGGAATAAGGGTCCACAGATCTGCATTTTAAATAAAGCCTCCCAAGTAATTCCACTGAAGTATGAGCATCAGTTGTCTACAGAAGTCACTTTTGTCTACTCTGTGTCTTCAGTAAGGAACAATAGTCAGCCAAGTCTCAAAAGTAAAAGGGATTTAAGTAGAAGAAAATACACTTGTCCAGATGAGCAGTCATTGGGGGCATAAATTCCCAGTGAGTTGTACTTGAGAATTGACTTGCTGCCCATTTTCAGTTAGGATGAAATGCTGCATGCAAAAAAAAAAAAATCCCCAGTCTTTTTGCTGTAGCTATTAGCAATCAGAAGCATATGCTGTCCCCTGAAAGTTAAAATTTACAAGGATATCAGAAAGTGGGGATGGTGAGTAAGGTGGGAAGTGAAAGCACTTTCATCAAGTGGCTCAAGATTGGAAATGTTAGCAGGTCATTCACTCAGGTACAACACTTTATTTTTATCTCTTCCCTGGAATATTTAGATCTGACCGTTGTGCCTGACGGCTTCTCTCCCAGAGCTGCCGCGGGCTGCCTTAAAAGGAAAACGCTTATGTAAAGAAGACAAGTGTGGGAAGGCAGGCGTCAGCTTAACAGACCAAGGAGCTCAGCAATTCCACCCACTGCTTCTTTCCCAGAGCAAACTCCCGAGAGATGCTCTTCTAGTGAGATGTCTGGTGCTTTACAATGCTTCCCCAGCTCTGATGTGATGATTTCCTCCTGATAGCTTAATTTTATTAGATCATAGGAGCACAGCCTGGAAATGTGAAAACACTTAAAAAGAATGAAACTTTCAAGGCAGCTGTTTAATGTAGAGTTTAAGGGAAAAAAAGAATCTGGGAGGGGAGGGGGAAAAAAAGAAAGAAAACACCTAAATCTGAAACCTTACAAAATAAAAGCTATTTAGGCAGGCTTCTTTTCCCTGTATGAGTAAAATATTCATGAATTTTGCTGCTATGGTATTGTATGCTAGATGCAATCAAGACTCTTCTGCAGAGCAGAAATCATTGAAAAGTGTACTGTTACCTTACAGTACTTCATGGAAAATCCATGAAATCTGCATTGCAAGGCACTGTCTCTTACTGTAGCAATGTTGCTTCATAAGTTTCCAGGAGAAGGAGCAATGATCTTTACTTTCTGTAATGCTATTCATAACAAGATGCCTGGGGGAGGTAACTGGCTGCTGATGGGAAGATAAAACATAGAAAAGGGGTGAATGATCTCACTCATAGCCTAGTCAATATCAGTGCCCTATGATTTAAGCCAGAGAAACATTTGATAACCTAGAAAGTGGGTATACCTCTTTACGAGGTAGAAAGACAACTCCAAAGGCAGTTTGTGTCAAAAGAGAGCTCTTTCCCATAGGTGATAGTTCACACAGTCTCTTTGAGCCATGAAGAAGTTGTTCTTTCTTATGTCCATCCATCCACCCATCCATCCATCCTTCTTCCATTGATCTATATGTTCATGTATTTATCTGTTCATTTAGTGAATGTTTTAGAGTGCCTGTCCTGTTTGATGCACTGTACACTAGAAACAAAAGGATGGATAAGATTCCTCTATCTCACTGCTGACTAGAAAAAAAAATACACAGTCTCAAAGTTGTTTTTTATTTTTATCTGGGGAATGTACTTAGAGCTATAGCCTGGGAGACAACCTCTCTGCTCTGAGATGCAGTTCCAAAGAGGTAAGAGAGGAACCAGGTGTATAGGAATTTTTCCTGGGGGGAAAAACCCCACATAATGGAACATCAAAATATAACTACTAATCACAAAAACCAGGCATCTCAAGTAAATGAGTTTAGTGCTTTTCTATGTATGAGAAGATCCAAAAATCTGAACTCATTATATCTAGGGCTGGTATCCTGTTTTTCTCCATCCCTTCAGGGTGCACTGCCCTTGTGGGCTGCTGTGGCTAATGGCTTGATGATAAGCAGCATTTGTTGTTTACTGAAATGGCAGGCAGGGTTCTTTGTCTACTAAAACCCCTCACATTGGAATAGAAAGATGTATTGGCATATTTCTGGTTAAAAGTAATAGACTGAACACATAGTTACTTCAGCTCAACCTTATGAAAAAGGTGGTCAGAACAGGAGAGGATGAGTAGGAAGTAATTTATTTTATTTTTGACTGTGCTAGGTCTTTGTTGCTGCGGGAGGGCTTTCTCTAGCTGCAGCAGATGGGGGCCATTCTCTAGACGCGGCGCTCAGGCTTCTCATTCGTGGCTCCTCTTATTGCCCAGCATGGACCCCAGGGCGTGCAGGCTTTAGTAGATGTGGCACACGGGCTTAGTGGCTCCAGGGCGTGTGAAACGTTTCTGGACCAGGGATCAAACCCATGTCCCCTACACTGGCAGGCAGATTCTTCAGAGTAGTAACTAATCTACAAGTCTCTAGATGGCAGACTAATACACGGACAGCGGGGAGGTCTAACCACCCAGTTCATTTGTAGCGACCTTTGAAGGGCTCAGGTGATGTATAAATCTTAAGAAATGCCTGAAAGTTTGCTTAAGAGGCATTTAGAACACCAAAAGTTTCTCCATCCCATCCTGCAGACAGGCAATGGTGTTTCTATCTCTAGAT